GATTTTAATGGATTATTTGTTTAACTATTAATGGGGGGATTTTTAATTATTGATGGGGTTTCTGATTTTAATTGTGAGCCGCCCAGAGTCACCCGTTGGGGGGAGATGGGTGGCATACAAATTTAATAATAACCAAACAAACAACAACTCATATGAAACGCTCTGTTCAAATGCAGAGGAATTTGGAGAATGGCATCCGATGCGGTGAGATAACTACACTATGTAAGGGAAAACCAATAATCTAGGCACGTATCTAGATGGGCTAAAGGGCTTTTTCACTTTCAGTCATCAAAAATCATTTGCTGATGGTGTTGCTAATGTCTAATGGCTTGAATAACTCCAAGATCATCGATATTCTGAAACCGAACAGAGGAAAAAGGAGGAAACTGAGTTGAAAGGTTGGTCTGCAGTAGCTTTGCTTAGGCAAATGAGGAATGGTAGCTCATGCAAACTAGTAACATACATACCCTCATTTTCCCACATCTTTCAGCAGGACCATCTTCTGCTAACCGCAAGACATAGAGATCCATGTTATATTCTCGGCCACCTCGCAGACTGAAGCCAAACCCTTTAGCTCCTCTTTCAAGTTCAACAGTGTAAAAATCTTGTTCTGGCTAGAAGAAAATAATAAAAAACTATTTGCAACCTTCATCTTCAGGAAGATCTAAATTACAGACATGCAAAGCCAGAAGAGAGTTGGTTCAAACGAACAGGCTGGTAAGTCACATTAAAATGAACATAGGAAATAAACAAGTGAAAGTGCCCCTGTATCAAATTAGACCTGTTTTCAAACCACTACCTTTCATCTATTCTTTAAAAATTAAATTCAGTTCTTATATCAAAAACAAGATAGCCTGGTTTTTAAAGAAATAAATCTCACTGCATACTTCGCCTTGGCATTCTCCAAAAGGACGTTAATTAAGTCGTCCAAATCTGTATAAGAGCATTTAGGACCTTCCATAAAGTGCTGAACCAGCTCCTTCTTCCAGAAGTCTTGGCAAAATTGTCTGTAAGGTGCCCTGGTAGTCTGCATGTGTGAACACAAACCACACTATTGCTACAACTGTCAGCAAAGCAAAGTTGCTCTGCATTTTTATTTCATTTGCTTATTTATTAAAAGGTTTGTAAAGCCACCCATCTTAGAGCACAATTCTGGGTGGCTCACATCAGCATGTATGTATATACATGCAGAGACAAGCTGAAAAAACACTCAATACAGCTACGCTGAACCTTCTGTGGGACATAACTGCCTGTAATGGGATGTGAGAATAACCTTGGGAGACAGAAGAAAGAGCCATAGCCCAGACAATGGTCTGATAAATGAAACCTGAGTCCAAAGGAGGGATGGGGGTGAAGAAAGCATCTTGGAAGGGACCCTCCCAGGTTCTCTGGAAAGTAAAGGGAGGGGAAGGGGGAAGTACTTTCAGACTTTCAAATTTCTCTTATTGTAACCTTATGTGATGGAATGTATCTACGAGGAGGAGAGTGGTGTGGGAGATCAAGGCTATCAGGAAGGAGGGGGTGCATTCCAGGAAGGGAAATGAGACAGAAAACAACACAGTCTGGAGGTGCAGTGTGGGAAGCAAAAGAGGTTCAGGATAGCCACTCCCTAGAATCTCCCAGGGTATATCCA